ATTAGGTATTATTATAGATTAATAAGGGATATCCGTCTGTAGTTTTCTTGTGATATCTTTGTTTGGTTTTAGTATCTGGGCAATGCCTCATAGGATAAGTTAGGCAGTGTTACCTCCATATCTACTTTTTGCAGGGTTTGTGAATAATTGGTATTAATTCTTTTTTTTTTTTTACTTATTATTTTAAAATATATTTTTATTGATTTCAGAGAGAAAGAGATAGAAACATCAATGATGAAAGAATTATTGTTTGACTGCCTCCTGTACTCCCCCCGCCCCACCAGCACTGGGGATTAAGCCTAAAACCTGGGCATGTGCTCTGACCAGAAATCAAACCGTGACTTCCCCAGTTCAAAGGTTGACGCTCAACTACTGAGCTACACTGGCTGGGCATTAAGCATTTATTTTAAATACACATTATTTTGCCCCTGATTTTCTATGTAATAAGTAAGGATTACTCAAAATTGGTGTAATTTCAAAAAAAAAGAATTAATACCAATTATAATTGCAATGAACACATAAACTAGTGAACAAAAACCGATCCAGAGACAGAAAAACATCAATCAGAATGTCAAACCCAAGGGAAGGTAGGGGAGGGTGGAGGTAAGGGGGAGAGATCAACCAAAGGACTTGTATGCATGCATATTAGCCTAATCAATGGACACGCACAACAGGGGAGTAAGGGCATGAATGAGGGGGTTGGGGAGTAATGGGGGAATAAGGACACATGTAATACCTTAATTAATAAAGAAATTTTTAAAAATGAAAATAAAATTTTCAAAATTTTCAAAAAAATTATAATTGCTAAGGGTTTAACTAACATTTTAGATTAAGGAACTGTATGATATTATGCTGAACATTCCCTATAAATGAACTTAAATATAAATGGAGAGTCACAAACATCCAACACTACTCCAACACTTTAGCTCCTAAAATCAAATGAAGAAATAAAAGGTTCCATCTAAGTCCTACATCTAAATTTAATAAAATACAAAAATAGCCCTAGCTGGTATGGCTCAGTGGATAAAGCGTCAGACTATGGTCCTGGGTTCAATTCCAGTCAAGGACACATGGCCACACTGCGGCCTCAGGAAACAGCAGGTCAATGATTCTCTCTTATCACTGATGTTTCCCTCTCTCCTCCCTTCCTCTCTGAATCAATAAAAAAAATTTTAAAAATACAAAAATAAATCATGTTTACCTCTGGACAACCAAATAGCCACTCATCATTAAAACTAAAGCTTCTGTTCCTCTCCTCAGGTATACCAATTTGACTTGGAGATCTATCTGGCTTTATTCTAGGAATCCATACATTGAAACTACTGATGTTTTTCATTAAAAAAAAAAAAAAAAAATCTAATCCTGGCTGATACGGCTCAGTGGTTGGAGCCTCGGCCTTTGGACCCAAGGGTCATGGGCTCTCATGGGTTCAATTCCCAGTCAAGCATATGCACCTGGGTTTCAGGTTCATTCCATCCCCTCCTCCCAAGTTGAGGTTTCTCTCTCCTCTCTCCCTTCCACTCTCTTAAAAAAAAAAAAAAAAAAAAAAAGGAAAAAATATCCTAGGGTGAGGGTTAACAAAAGTCTATGTCTTGCTTTGAAAAAGCCAAACAGGATCTATTTTGTTTATCAGTATATTTTGTTTATGAACCAGGAAACATATGCATATATGCATAGCCAATAGGCACAGATAATAGTGTGGTGAAGGCCTGGGAGGTGCGGGTGCTGGGTGGAGGGGGTTAATGGGGATGGGGGGGAGAAAACAACTGGAACATCTGTAATACTCTCGACAATGAAAATAAATTAGAATAAAAATAAAATAAAAATTTAAAGCCAAACAATATTTACCCTCCCATGTCATTTCCTACATTACAAAATAAGTTTTCTGGTTCCAGAAAGTAGAGTCAATGCTCAAATCTACACATCATCTTCAAAGGAACAATTCTCTTCCACATGTAATAAGTAAATAATAGTTTGGTAAAAGACAAGCCAACTTTAAAAAACTAGCTATTTCCGATTTAAAAAAAAATAGATTTTATTGATTTTTTACAGCGAGGAAGGGAGAGGGATAGAGAGCTAGAAAAGTCGATGAGAGAGAAACATCGACCAGCTGCCTCCTGTACACCCCCCACCGGGGATGTGCCCGCAACCAATGTACATGCCTTTACCGGAATCGAACCTGGGACCTTTCAGTCCGCAGATGGACCCTCTACCACTGAGCTAAACCGACTCCGGCCGAGTTTTTTTTAAATTACCTGTCACAAAGATGACATAAACCTATCAAATGTTACCAAATTCATCCTGTGCACTTGAAATAGCTATATAATTAAAAGGATCTATTCAGCCCTAGCCAACGTGGATAGAGCGTCAGCCTGCGGACTGAAGGGTCCCAGGTTCAGTTCCCAGGGTGCATGCCTGGGTTATGGGCTCCATCCCCAGTGCGGGGGTGTGCGGGAGTCAGCTGATCAATGATTCTCTCATCATTGATGTTTCTATCTCTCTCTCCTCCTTCCTCTCTGAAATCAATACAGAACTATATTTAAAAAAATAAAAATAAATAAAAGGATCTATTCAATCATGAATATAAATTCTTATTAATACACATACAACTTTTTTTTTTTTAAAGATAGGTAAAGGATCACCCTGGCTCAGTTGGTTGGAGCATCTGCCAATGTACTGAAAGGTCACAAGTTTTATTCCCAGTTAAGGGTACTAGGTTGGGGGTGGGGAGTGTCATATGGGCAGCAACCAAACTATGTGTCTCTTTCACAACAATGTCTCTCTCTCTCTCTCTCTCTCTCTCAAATAAAATAATAAAATGCCCGTGTGGCCTGTCTCAGTGGTTGAACATCGACCTACGAACTGGAAGGTCACAATTCAATTCCTGGTTAGGGGACATACCCCAGTTGGGGGCTCAATCCCCAGTGTCCCCAAAAATAATATGAAGTAACAGTCAATAATAGCAGTCAATTTACTACCTAATTCAATTAAATTTGACAAATATATACTGTGTGAGACCAACACAAACTTTAATCACCAAGCCAAGTTGATAAACCTGTCATTTTGTCTTTCACACTCCATGGACAATTACTGTAAAACCACCTAAGTTCTATACTATGACCTACTTTAAAGTTAGACAAGGTATTAAAAATGTACATATATATGTGTATATATGTGTGTGTGTGTGTATATATATATATATACACATATATATAACTATAAAGATTAGCCTTTATGCCTTAAAATTGTTCAAAAATACCTATCTTAACCAGCAGAGAATTCTGTAATATGAGCACTCACTGAAGAGATATTAAAAGTACGGTAGGCAAACTGTCACATAAATAAGCCACCAATATGCTCTCATATAAAAAGTTATGATATGGAAGGGATTTATATTTCAGATATAATTTTGTCATGTAATCTTAGAAAGAAAAACACATCACCCTAAACTTCAAAATTATCACCCAAAATTCCAAGTAAGAAAGGTCCTCCAAATATGTGGTGTACCTTCTTACATGAAATGACTACAACTGCACATGAACCAAGAGAAACAGAAACAGGTTAGATAAGGAAAGGATTAACTGTGCAACAGGTAGCAATCACTATAATTAACAAACAAATAAAAAAATCTTACCAGGACAAAAATCATAGATTTCTGGTATCTCCCTACAACTACCTTGTTTAAAAAAAAGAAAAAAGTGAGACTTGTCTGATGAAAGGCTCTTCCTTTGAAAGACTGGATCCCAATATCCCTTAGATATGTATGTCAACAATTCTACAAGTTTGACATGCTAAGCATACTTTCTTTTTTCCCCCAAAGAAAGTTTAACTCAAGAAAAGTCAAAACAAAATAATTCTTAAATGTACAAAAGTCCACTACTGATACACTTCCTTGGAAAAGTTAAAGATAAAGAAATAAAATCTCAACACATGGATTAGAGGATGCAAGTCTCTGACATAGGCTTGCCGAAACACATACCTGCTGGACATACTTGCCGATACTCCCCACACCTTTTTACCAATCACATCAAGGAAAAAAAATACTTTTCTCAAAAAGAGTGGAGATCATCAACAAATGGATTCAAGAATTACTCTTCCCCCTCCATACTAAGTCTAAAACACAGAGCCAAATAAAACCACCATAAATTCCTTTAGTCTCCTCTAGGTCTTTCAATTCACCAAATTTCACACAACAAATATAATTTTGTGGCTTTCCTCATACCCCACTCTACAAGGACAAATTCAAACTTCTAAAATAAATACATGGTGAGAATATTAATAAGCTGACTAGGGAAGCAAAATCAAATTCTGAAAGTCCATTAGGGAAACCTGGAGAAGAGAGCAGGGCCTAAAGGAGCGCATGCATATTCATATGCACATGCAAATGAATTCCCTCCAAATCATCACTAAGTAAAAATGTCCTTCAACAAGATGTCATGTATCATACATTCCTCCCAAAATACAGAACTTCATCAGCATCCAGTATTTTACCTTTTCTCAAACCCCCCCTCCTTCCTTCCAAACCTATCGAAGTGTTCATTTGTTTAAATAAAGAAAGACTCAATAGTTTTACTCCCCAGCTCAAGGCCACAAAACCTGGCACACCAGAATCTTTAAAAAATTTTATCCAACCATCCTTCCTCAAACAGTTTTGCCTCTGGAATTTACATTCTAACTTAATTTGAATAATTACAATGTCAGTATTACAAAATTAGGACTCCTTGTCAGGTTGTAATCCAGAGTCCTCGGATTTACAATGGTCTCTATAAACCTTAAAGGCTCCATATAACTCCATTTCCAATCAAGAGGAATATGAAGGCTCAAACTGTTTGGCCTAAAACCCAAATGAGGTAGTCATGATATACCGTCTCTCCATCTCTAGGGTACAGAAAAGCCACCTGAAAAGTGGTAATCACGCTGTGTTCACAAATGGAAACATTATAGTTATTCCACTTAAAAACTGGGGGGTGGGGGGGGGAATATAACGAGAAAATACTAACCAATCTCTGGCTGTAACGAATCCTCTCTTCTTCGGGTTCCATCGCTCACTCTTCTGTTGAAGTTACTGTAAAGAAACCACTCCAGGGCTGCCTTCTTCCTCCTTGGGAACCAGCGTGATTGCAACACTGAAGAATGAAATGAGCAGAGATGAGAACTCACACTCACCCTCTCCTTCCGCGGAGAAAAAGTGTTAAAAACGTGTGTAAGGTAGCAGCTCTGCGAGAAATCTGGTTCCTCTTCATCTGCTTGGGACCCTCTGCTCTTGGGCAAGTGGCTCCACGTCCTGACCAACATTAATCCAATTACAACAGTCCGAGGCCTAAGCAATAGGAGATGCTGGTTTCAGTTCCTGCGGTCGGGCGCGCCACTTGTTTCTCCCCACAGGATACAATTAGCAAGGATCCCCTCCACGGCAGCATTAGCAAAAAAATAAAAAATAAAAAAAGGGGTGAGCGGGCGGGGGCACTGACCAGGGGCAGCAGGTACTGAAGTAATCCAGACCCTAACCAAATTAGTTCTCTCTCCCTGGCGACGAGAAACGGGAGGAAAGAAGGGCAGACCCACCACACAGAAAGAGGGCAAGAAATTAGGATCTGAAGAAAAGCTTCAAAACCCTTGCCCACACCCCTCCAGAAAGCAGCAATCCTCAGACCCTTTCATTCCCAAACCCAACCCAAGACGCGGACAACTCTGAAATTCAAGAGTTGCAGAATCAGGAACAAAAAATTCCATCGGATTCTTTGGGCAAATAAATAAAAACAAACGACTCTACCTACAGATGTAAGTAAAATACATCTTTTCCAAAAATTAAATAAAGACAGGTTTGCGCCACGGACTCATAATACCAAGAATGGTTTTTCTTTTCTTTTTCTTTCCTAAATATCCTCATAGATGATGGCTTCCATGGGGACGCAGATTTGTTTCCCTTCTCTAACTGCATCGCCGCCACGTTCACAGCATCCTTTCAAACCTGCGGGGGCCGGGCCGGCGGCCGTGGGGAGGCCGTGGCGGGGCGCCTCCGGGGGAGCCCGCCCCAGGCCGGGGGCAGCGCCGGGCCCGGGCGCGGGGCGCGGGGCGCGGGCCGGAGGGCGGCCGGGCCGGGGCGCGGGCCGCGGCCGATCGCGCCGGGCTCCCCGGGGAAAGGCGGTGCAATGGCTCGCCCGTCGGAAAAAGAAATAGAAACTTTACGTTGAGTCCTGAGATAACACCGAGGAGCAAACTTCCCAAGGGGAGGGAGGCGAGCGAGGGGATCTCACCGGGGGTTTTGCTCCGGAGTTCTTGACCGAGAGAGAAGTGAAAAGATTCCAAAAGCCGAGAGGAAAAAATGAAATCCCAGACGTCCTCTTCCTCCGTCTTTTCCCCGCGGGTCAGCCCGGTATCCAGGGGGTCAGGGCGACCCGGAAAGGAGAGGAAACAGTTGCCGAATCAAACCTCCTCTTCTGGCTTCGGAGCCCGGGCGGCGGAGGCGGCGGGAGAGGGAGCGCGACCCCCCGGCGCCGAGCCCGGGGCGCCCCCGCCTCCCCCGGGCCAGCGGGCAGCAGCCGGAGCCCGAGCCCCGGGCCGGCCCGGCCGCGGGGAGCGCCCGCCTCGCCGTGCCCGCGGCCAGCAGCCGCCGGACGTCCCCGGAGCCCGAGATCGGGGCCGATCAGCTGAGACCGGCCGGCCCGAGGCTCCCCGCGCCGCCCCGGCCCCCCGGAACGCGGGCCCGGCCCCGGGGGGCAGAGAGGGCGGGAGCGGCCAGGCGCGCCGGGCTGGGGGCCCGGGCTGCCCTCGCGTCGCCCCCTCAGCCCGGGCTCCGCGCTGCGGGACGAGCCCCCGGTTACTCCCCAGTCGCAGAGAAGGGATTCCGGGGGATGGGCCCCCTGGCGTTGCTCCTCCTCCCGGGGCGCCCCTTGCCCAGAACAGACAGAGCGGCGACAGGCCCAGCCGCCGGAAAGGTGCTCAGCGAGCCGCCGCCGCCGCCGCCGATGCCGGGGAGGGTGTTGTTTCCCTCACACAGGAGGAGCCGCCGAAGCAGCCGCCGCCATTTTGAACCCGTCAGACTCTCACATACACACAGCTCCTCCGCGGCGCACTGCGCAGGCGCCGCCTCCCACCCCTCCCCCGGCCGCCTCTCCGCCCCCCGCGCCCCTGCCGGCCTCCCTGCGCGCTTACCGCTCGGCCCGGCGCCCGGGAACGCGCACGCGTCACTCTGCCTTACGCGGACACGCCGCCGGCGCGCGCACGCGCGGATGCGTCGGCCTCGAGACGCCCGCGCCCGGCGACGCCGACGAGGCTCCCTGCCCCCCCCACCCCACCACTCGCGTCGGCGGCCGGCCTCCCGCAGGCCCGCGGCCCCCGCTCCCGCGGGCTTCCTTCCAGAGCCCGGGCCGGCCGCCGCTCGCGCCTGCGCGCAGCCACGGCGCCTCCGCGCTCCCCCACACGCCCTCGTTCTCACAGACACAGTACCCTTCGCCTCTGTGACCCCGCCCCTCGCCGGCCAGCTGCGCCGCGGCCCTCCCCCCGCTCCCGGGAGGGGGTGACCCCCGACCCCCCACAAAGCACCCCCCCAGCAGCGGGAGAGGGCCCGGCTCCCCTGCCACCGCCTCACACCGCGGCCACAGCCGCACACCCTGAGGGCCCGGCGGCCTGGGCCGGGGCGGCCGTTGCCCGCCTCAGAGCGGGGTCTCCCGGGGTCAGGAAGCCGGGCCCGGCCGCCCCGACCTGGGCGTCCCGCTCGGGCCTGCCCCGGGCGCGAGGGCGCGGGGAGGGGACGCCTACCCGTCTGCCGCCCTGTCCCGGCGCCCGCCAGTGGGCCGAGGCCCGCCTGTCCGCCATCCCCGGCCAGGCCCGGCGCCCCCGCCGCGGGGCCCGGCCGCCCTGGGCCGGGGGCCGGAGGCGGGGGGCTCCTCGGGGCAGCGGCCCGGCCCCGCCTCACCCATCCTCGCCGCTCCGAAGGGGCAGGAACCGGGAGCAGCATGTCTGTCCGGGGCTCGGCTCCCCGGGGCCGCGGGGGGGCTCCGGGCGCTGACAGGGGCGTCCGTCCACAGGTGCCGGGCGCCCCGCGCCCTCCGCGACGGCCCGGGGGCGGCGGGGGCGGCGCAGGCCCGGGGCCCGGAGGCGGCCGGGAGGCCCCCGCGGCCACGCTCAGGCCTCCGCGCGCCCGGCCCGGGGCCCGGGTGGGACTGACCCCGCCCCCGGCGGGTCGGGGCGCCCCCCGCGGAGGGGTGCGCGGCCCCCGGCCCCGGGCCGGCACCTCTGCCCCGGGCCGAGGCGGGCGCGCGGGCCCGGCCGGGAAGATGTCTCCTCTCGGTGCGCGCAGCTTCGCGCGAGGGTCAGCGGCGGGGCAGCGGCCGCCCGGGGCGCGCCGGCCCTGCCCACGGCCCGGCTCCCGCGGCTCGACAGCTGCCCGACGGGCTAGCGGGCGGCGGACGTCGACGGACCGGGCCGGAGGCAGCGGAGCAGCGCCATGCGAGCCGCCCGGCCGCGATCCGGGCGCCCCCCGGCCAGGCTGGCGCTCCGGGCCCGCTGGGACGATGCAGCCCACAAAGGACCTTGGCTGGGGCGTTACGCATCCGGGTCCGCACAGCCGGCTCCACTGCACTCCTGCTGAGAGGTGTCACCCAGACCGCCTCCTCCCCGTCTTGGTTTCCCACTCTTTCAACCTCCGATTCCGGGGATGAGGGCATGGAGGGGAGAGGAAGCGCATGGGGTGAATCCTGCAGCTGGCATAAACAACCTCCAACTCTTGGAGGGAGACTTTGGAGAAAGGCCATTGAAATAACGGTACCTTCAAGGTTTGAATTCTGGCACAAAGGCACTAGGTAAAGCCAAGGTGTTCTTTGTTACCACTCCAGGTGTTCCTGCATGCGAACTCCGGGAGTTTTACACACATTCTGTACTTGGTTTCACCGCGCCCTTCGGAGACAAGCTACAGGGCCTGGTAGCATTTTAAAGTCAGACACTTGAAGTATAGAAGGATCAGAGCTTTCATAGTTAACTCCTAACAGCGAGGAGTCCGGCACTCTGCAATAGCAACGTCTCCCAGGCAAAGATCTGTTAACAGGGTATCACCCTCTGGCATTCCAGTCATTGGGAAATATTCTTGACTCTGGTATCAGTTTTGTTCAGACTTCTTAGATTTTTCAGAGCACCGATACCAAGATCTTTGCCGAAAGATCTTTATCAGGCCTACAGCCTTCTGAAGTCTTTCAAACTGTAGTAGGTGTTTAAAAGTCCTTCACACTGGCACCACCAGATGTGATCCGTAGGCACCTGGGTCTCTGTAGGTATAGAAAAAACGCAGCAGCTTGTTTATTTTGTTAAGTAGGAAAGATTTTTGCCGTTTGTCGGATTAAGGAAGAGTGGGCCTCATTGCTATTTGCAAAAGAAGTGCCTTTATTTTCTTTCCACTCACCCCTGAGGCCCACGGGATAGTTGGGGGCAAACAGAGAAAAGGAGGTCTCCTGCTGTAGGTCAGCTTGGTCTTGCCCTCTGTCTGAAAGTCCCGGGTCCCTTAGCTAATTACTCCTTATCTAACGGGGCTGCTCACCTTTGGCAAACAACTGCCTTCTGCAGGTTAACCCTGGTGGAGGGTGGAGTACGCTAGGAGGAAACCCAAGGAGAATCCAAGAACAACAATAGCAATACTTATTTTGGGACAGGACTGCAAATAGAGGCTTGTCCAATTGCAGCCAGGCCTTTTCCAGTTGAAAACCATTTGTTGACTAGTCTGCGTAGAGAGAAATGATGTTTCAACAGACAAACACAACCCTAGCCAGTTTGGCTCAGTGGATAGAGCATCAGCCTGAAGACAAGGGTCCCAGGTTTGATTCCAGTGGTCAAGGGCATATATGGCTAGGTTGCGGGCTCAATCCCTAGTAGGTGGCATGCAGGTGGCAGCTGATCAATGATTCTCTCATTGATGCTTATATCTCCCTCTCCCTCTCTTAATAAAAATATATATTTTAAGTAAAATACAAAATAAACAGACATACACAATGATTTCTCCACAAAGCCAGCTTTGTTAATATTCTAAGGCAGATGTGCAGGGTGAGATAAAAGATAAGCAAATGGCTAGTGATTTCCCCACAATCACAATGGCTGTGGTTGGCAAGGGCATATCATAGGGTTTACTGTTTTGTCCAAAAAATAAAATAAAATAAAATAAAACATTTTCAAGGAGAATAGAGCTTGGGGAAATCCCCAAGAAGGCCGCTAGAATTATGAATTACATGACTTCACCTGTAAAGGCAGGGAGAGGGGAGGAGTGGCAGATGAGAAGAAGGAAAGAAAAATGCCCATTATAATCATTGAGAACAGGATCCCTGGCTGGAACAAGCTGGTGCCTTGATAAGTATGAACAAATCTCTGCCTTCTTGAGCAAAGCTAAGACCCAACAAATGCTGAGAGTCAGAATCCAGACCACCCACTTCTTTTGTGAGTCTTCAGTGGGTAAAAGAGAACTCTTTAGTCTGGTCAACTAAATTATTCTCATTTCTCTGCACTCCTTAAACGTTAAGGAGGAAGCGGGGATGTCCCAAACACTGGAGGTCTGAACCAAAATAAAGAAGTTGGTCTAGCCCTAGCCGGTTTGGCTCAGTGGACAGAGCATCTGCCTGTCAATCCAGTGTGTTCCTCAGTTGCAGAATCCTCCCCGGCCCAGGCCCTGGTCAGGGCACATTCAGGAGGCAACCAATCGATGTCTTTCTCTCTCATCGCTATTTCTCTCTGTCTTTCCCTCTAAAAATCACAGGAAAAATATCTTTGGGTAAGGACTTAAAAAAAAAAAAAGTTGGTTTTTAAGATCCCAAGAGAGAGAGCGTGTAACCAGTAAGCAGTTGAAAAGCTTGGAATCAGCCCTGGCGGTGGATAGGGCATTGGTCCTCGGACCGAAGGGTCGCAGGTCTGATTCCTGGTCAAGAGCACGTACCTCAGTTGCAGGTTCTGCAGCCCCAGCAGGGGTGTATGCAGGAGGCAATTGTGTCTCTTTCACCAGTCACCGCTGTTTCTCTCCCTCTCCTCCCTCCCTCCCACTCTCTCTATAAATCAATGGGAAAAAATGTCCTAAAAAACACACACAGAACTCTGAGATCAGAGACAGAATGTTTAATCTACTAGCTAATCAGTCTTAATAAACTCCTCAGAGTCTTGGTTTTCCATCTATAAGTCGGAAAAATACCTCTCAAAGTGAAATAAACATTGTCTTAAAGCTCAGTGTCTGGCACATTTACTATTTCCGATCTCTAGCTTTAAAGAGAGTTTTAGTAATGCTTTAATATGCCCTCGTTGGCTCATAGCATCGGTCCGCTGACCTAAGGCATATACCTTGGTTGCAGATTCACTCCCCACACCCTTCCTGGCAATACATGATGTTTCTCCTCTCTCCCCTTCTCCTCCCTCCTTTCTGCTCTCTAAAAATCAATGGAAAAATTATCCCCCAATGAAGATTAAAAAAAAAAAAATCCTCAATATTTAAGCAAATTTACAGAATGTAAGTCATGACTTACTTTTAGCTTTTCTTTCCTTTCCTAGTTCCTAGTCTCTCTTTCCTCCCTCACTCTGACCTTGATTTTTTCTCTCTTCCCTGACTCTGTCTTTCTGCCTTTCTCTCATCATCACCCACCTCCTGAGTCCTGTTATTTCCATCCTTCTCTCCATCACTGTGCTGCTCCCCACCTGTTGTGTTCATTCCTCTCTCCTAGGGCTGTTGTCATCTGCTCTTTCATCATTAGAGCAGACCTTGCTCTCCCACTTCCCCTTCGGTGTACTCAACATGTGCGCTCTAGCTTTGTTACTTAATCATTTCCTGACCATCTCCCTTCACCTCCCTCCGCTAGACTGGAAGTTCCTTGAAGCCCACACTTGTGCCCCTCAGAAGGCCTTCCGAAATCAATACCACACACTTATTGTGTCCGCCCAAAGGTGGGTAAAAACCAGGTGTTGGGTGGTTAAACATGTTAAGGGATAGAAATTTCTCTTTTGAGCCTGGAAGTAAAGTCTGAATTGAGCAGGGTGGCTCTGGGGAAGGAAGCCGGAAATACCTGCAGATTGTCACATCCTTGAACATGAATGGCGCATGAGATACTGGTAAGTTTCAGTGAC